TGCAAAACTATCCCACTTTTAAATTGCCAGTCTAGGGGCGAATTCAAGGTTTTTTTAATTCCGAGCTGTTAAGTACCAACTCTTCCAGGCAATTGCTAAGCGTTATAATAAAAAAGATATTTGAAGGATTTTTGTCTTCAACGAGCTCACAAACCAGAGATGTACGTATCTCCCTGTAACACATTTTGGCAAGTATGTTATTAGTGCATGAACAGAGCACTGTGTGTGTACAGATGGAGAAAAGCGAAAGAGTCTGAACTGAACTTGAAGGATGTTTGGGGGGTTGAGAATGAGGAAGACCACCCAGGCGTAAGAAAAAGAATGTGTGGAATTCTTAGAATGCTGGAAGGACACTGTGTTCTGAGAAGTGTGAGCATCAGACCTGGCAGAAGCATGAGGGCGTGGGAGTTGGGCAAAGAGAGAGGGAATGAGGCTGGAGAGTGAAGCGGGGCCATTTGCACAAAAGATTGTTCCTGCTTTGACTTGAGGCTTTGGATTCCTCTCCCTAGTTTGACCCAGGCACCCTCTCCTCCATCTCCTATCTTCTACCTTCTGCTCCATGGCAGAATGCATGCCTGGCTACTCGACACATTGATCTCTGGCTCCATCATCCTGAAAAGTCTGCAGGGTGGGCAAAACTACCATTCATACTAGAGACTTTTGGGGAGCTTTCTAGTAGGAATTGCTTAGAAGCTTGTATTTGAGTCACAGATAAATGAACATTTGATAATCTCTTTGAGGAAATGAACAAGAATACCTGAAAGTATCTCTTCCTTAGCTTTTTGATCTATAGTGCTTAATGAAATACCAACCTTAATGAAGCTAACGCAAATCCATTAGTTAATGTGGAGACTATCAGACCCAGTGTGGCTCCATCAACAAAGGAATTCTCTGCTTGGGTAGGACCCAGAAAGAGGAAGGAGGCGGGGAGCATTGGGAAAAGATGTTGAATTAAAGAAAGACAGTGAAACTCCCAAGTTGGCCAAAGAAAGATCCAGACCAGACTGGGCAAGCAGATGCCACATCTGGGCTACTGGCAGAGGGAGGCTCAGCTAAGTCATGGTCAGATTTCAAGGAAGAAAATACCCCAAGTCAGTCATGAAGTTAAACAGAACCCTGGTCAGCCGTACAGGTGTCATGACTAGGTATTCAGGGTGGAAGCTTGAGAAGGGGCTTGGTCCACTGTGCTCAAAATGGGCAAAATCATATGGGCAGATATGTGCTCAAGACGGGCAAAATCATATGGGCAGATACGATGGAGAGACGTCAGGTGTGGGACCTGCCAAAACTGTCTTCCCGAAACACAGATCTCGTCAAATTTCCCAGCCCAAGAATCTTCAGCGACTCTCAGTTGCAGATGTAACTATTCAAATGCCTTAACCCAGAATTCACATTTCACTACAATTTCACTCCCATCAAGTTTTCTGGCCATAGAAAGCTGATTACAATTCCCTGAACCGACCTCTAATTTCCCCACCCTGAAGCTTTTGCTCAAGCTGTCCCTTCCACTTGGAGTGCCCGTTGTCTCTCCCTCTCTCCTAAGCTCCCAGATCATGTTGTTCTCTTCTTACAATTCGTATCAGTCTCTTTTGTGTGGGCATCAATGTCTTTGTCCCTTCTTTTTGATCATAGACTTACTTATTCTGGGATTGTGTTTTATTCATATTTTTATCCAAAACAGCACCTACCCCTGCACCTTGCATGCTTCAGGTCCTCAATCTGGACTTGTTGGAAGTCAGTAGAATTGTTTTCAAGCTCACCCCAGGACTGAAACAGAGGAGATGCATGTAGGATTCACTAGGAGAGTTCTCAAAGGAGTCACGTGTGCTGATGGGGGAGACAGAGCCTATTGCAGGGTAGGGAGGGTCTTCCCTTTGATCCCCATCCAAAGTGGTCATGTATGTCGTAAAGGGCTTGTCCCATCATAGGGACACATTCACACATGGGTATAAACTTTATATCTTCTGGTCCAGGAACTACATCTACCTTAGAAGAGCACTGTCCTTGGGTCTGCCTCTGGGCAGAATGGGAATGTGGTTCAAGTCCAGCTATACACTGAACCCCAAGGGTCTATGGGTTTGTAGCTCTGCTTGTTGACATCTGAGGCTGGGGTTTGGGGTAGGATAAGGCTCCTGAATCAGGGCATCTGCTTAGGGTTCTGATTAGAGAAGAGAGAGAGGAAGCAAAATAGGTCAATGTGCCCTATACTGGGAGGGGTGAGGCAGGAGAACTGGTGCAGGGCACTCTGGAGGAAGCTGGGAGACTGGAGTTGCCTGACAACCCTTTGGGCTGCCATGTCATAGAGAAGATCTTCTTGTCTTCTACATCCAACTGGTCTAGTCCTCTTAGAATTACTCTGACACTCATTGTGGACCTGGGATGAACAGAACTGCAAGAATTGCTCATTCTGACCCAGAGTGGGCTGCCTGATTACTCCGTTAAAGATATTGGATTGCACCCTTTAGGAAAGGCTGGGATAGGTTTCTGTTGGGACTATTGGGAAAGAGACCAGAAAAGGGGTGGGGAGAGGGGGCACAGAAGAATAGAAAAAAGAAGTGCTGAATAACACATGGTAGGTGCTTAACACTCTTTTTGGATGAATTATTGAATTCTTAGACGTGAATAAAAGAGAATATAAAGTGCAATAAATGGAAAAGGAATATAATGATGAAAGCAAGTAGGAGTTGATTAGAGGGAAAAAGTAAATAGTAAAATTTAAGAGATTAGAGGAACATACAACAACTACCAGGCAGACTCTCTCCTTGGGTTGGCCATATAGTTGCCAGAAGCTCTAGACTCACGTGCCTGGTTCCAAGTGCGCAAGAAAGAGACCCTTCACAAGTCCCTCGAGTCCCTCAGATTAAACCAACCAACCACCCTGTGGCTGTTCCTGAACCGATCACTGTGGTCCAGGGTGACTTGGTTGGGGGACGAATTACAGCATTTGGCCGTGCCTGGATCACAAGCCTTCCCTGCCAGCAATGTACGAAGGGACTTGGTGTACTGATAGGTTAGGCTGAGTCACTTGCTCCACCGTTAGAGCTGGAGGTTGAGCCCCACCCAAAGCATATAGAATGAGAATAGGGAAAGGGTGCTCTTAGGCCAAACAATGGAGTGTGGGTGCTGAGTTGGCAAAACTCCAAAATGTTTACTACACCAGCCCTTTCCATCTTCTTTTCTTGGGTAACTCCTCTTTGCTCTTTGAGACCATATTTAGGCATTACTTCCCCCGATCTGTCTTCCACAGCAGATTAGATGCCCCAGAACATAATCTGTGTTCTCATAACTCTCCTTTCTAGATTGAGAGCCCCTTCAAGGCTTTGTCTTTTTTCTCTGTATCCTTAGGACTGAGAACGGGGCTTGACAGAATTGAAGTTTGTTGAATAACTGAGAGAGAATGCATGCATGCACATGTACAGCAGTGTGTGCTGGAGTGGGTCTTGCTTTTCACCTTCAGAGAGGACACAGCTACATTGGGATGGCTGCACCCAGGAGCGGTGGAGCTTTTGCTCAAGCAGAAGCCAATACTTCTGGGGTTGGAGCTAGGGTTGGAGCCCCACACTAAGCATACAGACCGAGAGTGGGGAAGGGGGTTCCACCTCCTCAGGAGAAGAAGGTATGGCCACCTCCCAAGTGGTGCCACCAGTGCTGCTATTGTCTCAGACTCCCAGACCACAGAAGTGAGTCTCCCCTTCACCCTGGGGCCCCAGGAAGGCACCTGGTCACATCAAGTCTTAGAATCCTGTTTTTTCACATCCATCCCTTTCTTTCTATTGCACCACCCCCTGCTGGTCTCCTGACAGCCTCCCTGCCCCTCATCTTTGCTCTCTGCTTTGCCTGACTCCTCTAAAACTTGCACACCAGTGCCATAAGCATGGTCCTTAAACACCAATTATCATGTCACCCACTTTATGAAAAACCTCAATGAGTCCTCAGTGCTTCTAAGATAAATTCTAAATTCTTCAGCCTGGAATTAAAGTTCATTATCAGTCTTTCCCCAGATTTTACATGCATCTAAATTCTCACTCCTCACCTTCCAGACCTGTGCCCACCCTATAACCTGCTTTCCCCTCCTACTGTGTGTACTTCTTCCTCGTTGCTCATACTCTGTCCCTGCTTAGTGTCCTCATTTTTCCATGTTGTTATCCAATCCTACTTCTCCTTAATTCCTGCGTTTTTCATGAGGTGTTTTCTGACCTCTTCAACCCACAGCAATCTTTTTCTTCTCTGAACTAATGTATTCCTAGAAAAATTGAGCCTATATCCATTGCATGAATCACTCAATTGGCACTTACCTAATCATATACTGCTCTATGCAGTTCCTCAATCTTTCCATTATTAGAACATAAACTCTTTTTTTTTTTTTTTTGTGAGGAAGATCAACCCTGAGCTAACATCCAATGCCAATCCTCCTGTTTTTTTTTTTCCTGAGGAAGATTGGCCCTGAGCTAACATCCATGCCCATCTTCCTCTACTTTATATAGGATGCTGCCACAGCATGGCTTGACAAGCAGTGCATCAGTGAACACCCGGGATCCGAACCTGCAAACCCCAGGCCACAGCAGCAGAGCGCACGCACTTAACCGCTTGGGCCACCGGGCCGGCCCCAGAACATAAACTCTTTTGTATCCCTCCACGGCGCCTAGCAAAGTAATGGGAATGTAGCAAGTGCATATTTAATGCTTGTTAAATGAAAAAGTGAAGAGGAGTGTGTTGAATGAAAAGGTGCAAACGGGCAGTATGACTTTAGAGTATTTTCGCTTTCTTTTAGTTTGGTTGTGAATACTATTGGTGTCTTTTGGCTTGTCACTTAACTCTCTTAGCCTCAGTTTCCTCATCAGTAAGTTAAGGATAATCTTACCAGCTCTACAGAGGTTACAGGGTTATGGTGAACCCCAAATGAGAAATCATACATGAAAGTACTTTATGAAATGTTAAGGTAAGCTTTTTGGCTTTCTCTTTAAATTTCAATTATAAAATATTTTTCTTCTTACTTTTAGACTTGCAACATTATTTCTCGAAAGAGGGCCCAACAGGATAGGCAGTCTTTACAAAAAGGCTGTTTACAGACACTACACAGATGAGACCTATTCCACGGAGATCCCTAAACCTCCCTGGCTGGGATTCCTGGGCCCCATCTTGAGGGCTGAAGTAGGTGATGTGATTGTCATCCATTTAAAGAACTTTGCTTCCCGACCTTACTCTTTGCATCCACATGGCGTCTTCTACAACAAAGATTCAGAAGGTAAATATCAATCCTGTATTATTGGTGTCTTGTCTCTATTTCCTAAGTAAGGCACTGTCAGTTACAGTGAAAGGATTCTAAAAGCACAATGATTATGCATGTTCACTGTCTTCTCCCTGTCTCTTTCTCTCCCATCTCCATCTGTTCCCCCTTCTCTTTCTCTTCTTCTGTTTTCTTTCCTTTATTTCCTTCTTCCCGCTTTCTCACTCTTGTTTATGTTGATACAAAGCTGGGTGCTGGGCTCCCCTGGCACACGCCCCACCATGGCCCCAGAAGTACACTAACTTCTTTCCTTGTCCATCAGTCACGACTGGGTAGCACACTGGATAAAGAGCAGCAAGCACCAATAGGTTCCAGTGTCCTAGCACCAGTAACAGCCTTGGCTGTGGGCAGAGTGTCTCAGTGTTGATCTCAACTGCCCTGCTTAAGGCTACCGTCTTTGGTGCTTCCTTTCTGAAGCAGCCCTGTCTTCTCATGTGTACTTCAGGAGCTTCAACAGTGCCATTTCTCGAGCCCTCCCTATTGCTTTTTAAAAAATTTTAAACAACATTCTTAGACTTTTGGGACAGAAGTATTTTTCACATCCCCTGTTGCATTCTGGCTCATGACCAGGTGGAATGGGTCCAATGGTGTGACACCTGCTACACCACTGGCTCTAGGGGATGTGTCAGGTGCAGTACCATCAATCCTGAGTAGCTCACTTTATCATCAAGGATGAGCACATTCTGCCTTGAATACCCCAATGCAGCCAAACTCGCTTGGTGGTGGCCACAGCTGGGTCTGTCTAAGCAGCCAGAGGAGAGACCTCTGATGATGAACATGAGCTTGAGATGGCCCTCTGTTCTTGGCCCTTTTCCTCCAACTGAAGTGCTGCTAAGGGATAATTATTGATGCAGTTTCTTTAATATAGTTTTGTAAAACTGTTATTTATGCTGCAGGTAGAAACTAAAGATGTGTCATAATAGCTGTGTCTGTCTTTTTAAATATGGAGAAAATAGGGTGTCTATAAATCTTTAATTTTTGTCTTCACGGCTTCATATATTTCTAAAAAGCATACCTTAGTAGAGTTGATGGTATCCTGAAAGATCATATAGGCCAGTGATTCTAAAGCTTTATAGGGCCACGGATCCTTTTTTAAAAAGGTATGGTAAAATATACATAACATAAAATTTACCATTTAACCATTTTTAAGTGTACAATTCAGTGGCATTAAGTACATTCATAATGTTGTGCAACCACCACCACTATCCATTTCCAGAACTTTGTCATCATCCCAAACAGAAACTTTGTACCTAGTAAACAATGATTACCTATTCCCTCCTCCTCCTAGTCTTTGGTAGACTCTATTCTGCTTTCTGTCTCTACAAGTTTTCCTATTCTAGATACCTCATATAAGTGGAATCATACAATATTTTTCCTTTTGTGTCTGGCTTGTTTCATTTAGCATAGTGTTTTCCAGGTTCACCCATGTTGTAGCATGTACCAGAATTTCGTTCCTTTTTAAGGCTGAATCATATTCCATTGTATGTATAACCCACATTTTGTTTATCCATTCATCTGTTGATGAACATGTGGGTTGCTCCCACCTTTTCACTACTGAGAATAATGCTGAACATGAGTGTGTCACAGATGCTTTGGAGAGTTCTATCAAAGATCCCTTGCCGTGAGCACTTGCATCAGAAAAATATGTGTGTGCGCAAAATTTTGAACTCGATTTTAGGGAGTTCTCAGAGTCCTTGAAGTCATCCCTGGGTCCTGAAGTTAAGAACACCCAAGAAGCCTTCTCTATACCCTGTCTTAAGTAGGTCTCTCCCACCTCAGGAGTCTATTGGTTTCTTCACAGCACTTATTAGAACTTCTTGTATGGGGAGTGATGTCAGCATCATGGTGGAGTGAGAGATTCTCTTTGTCTCTCCCCTCTAAATTATAACCTAACATCCATTGACCAACAGAGGATTCCCTACACAGCACAACAGGATGCCTAAGAGATCCAGGCAGCTATACATCTGAAGGTGGGTGGACTAGATCTCCAGGAAGCAGTGGAACTAGAGGAGCAGCTCCCTCCCCCATCCCCAATGGCAGCGATCCAGGGTATGGATCCTCACGTAGTGGCCTGTGTGACTGTGAGTGGAGGCAAGGGTGGCCTGGCCCCGCACACCCAAATGCCGGTGGTGCAGTGGCAGCCCCATGCATGCATGAACACCCAGGAGGCAGTGGCAGTGGCCGGCAGTGGCCCTGCACGTGTGTCAACATCCCCAGGGCAGCGGCAGCATCCAGCAATGACCCCACATGTACATGCATGCCCGTACACACACCCAAGGGGCAGTGGTGGCAGCCCTGCCCTGTGACAGTTAGTGGAGCATTGGCAGAGGCAGCAGCCCAATTCATACAACTGCTAGTAGACAGGAAGGGAGCATCCAGCCTCCAGTGGTGGCACCCCTGAGACCAACTCCACCAGCAACTCCATCATACAAGTCCTTGGGTCCCCAGGCCCCCACCAGCAACAGCGACACCCATGAACTCAGCACCTTTTGCAGTGATGCAACTAGCACCCCCAGACAACTGGGGAACAGAAACACAGGGGGTGCATGGGGCAACCGTATCCAAGCCTGTGGAGGGCCAGTGGAGGAACATGAGATCCAGGTGACCAGAACCAAAGTAACCAAAGCCATACCCAAAAAAGAGAAGGTGATTACTACCACAAATGCACTGACAGAGGATCAATTCATCAAACACCATGAATAACTACAATAACACTGCACAACAGAAGGAAAATGACAACTGTCTAGAAACGAAATCTAACATCAGAGAAGTTGACAGTCTAACTGCCAGAGAATTTGAAATAGCTGTCATAAAGAAACTCAACGAGTTACAACAAAGCTCAGAAAGACAGTTCAATGAGCTCAGGAATAAAATTAATGGACAGAAGGAATACTTCACCAAAGAGATTGAAGGTCTAAAAAAAAAAAACCAAACAGAAATTCTTGCTATGAAGAACACAATTAGTGAAATAAAAAGTAATGTAGACAGCATTAAAAATAGAGTAGACTGTATGGAGGACAAAATTAGTGATTTCAAAGATAGAAACATAGAAATGATTCAGGTGGAGGAGAGAACTAAGATTTTTAAAAAACGAAGACGTTCTTTGAGAAATATTTGACTCAATTAGGAAAGGTAACATAAGGATTATAGGTATCCCAGAGGGAGAAGAGAGGGACAAAGGAGCAAAGAACTTATTCAAAGAAATAATAACAGAGAACTTCCCAAACCTGGGGAAGGAATGGGAGGTGCAAGTACATAAAGCTAATAGAACTCCTAATTACCTCAATGCAAAAAGACTTTCTTCAAGGTATATAATACTAAAACTCTCAAAAGTCAATGACAAAGAAAAAATATTAAGGGCAGCAAGAGAAAAGAAAATAATCCACAAAGAAACCCCCGTAAGGCTTTCAGTAGATTTCTCAGCAGAAATCTTACAGGCTAGGAGAGAGTGGAATGATATATTCAAAATACTGAAAGATAAAACCTCTCAGCCAAGAATACTCTATTCAGTGAAATTGTCCTTCAGATATGACAGAGAAATAAAGCTTTCCCAGACAAACAAAAGCTGAGGGAGTTCATTGCCACTAGACCTACCCTTCAAGAAATATTGAAGGTGGCCCTTCTACCTGAAACAAAAAGGCAAAGATTTACAAAGCTTTGAGAAAAGAGATAGACAAAATCATAAAATTTCAGTTCTCTATCAGAATAGGTTAGCAAACACTTAATTATAACATCAAGGATAAAAGGAAAGAAAGCATCAAAAGTAACTATAAACACTTCAATTTGGTCAGAAACTCACAACACAAATAAGAATAATTTGTGACAAAAAAAAAACATAGAAGGGGAAGAGGAAAGGGATGGAACCTGCATAAGCTAATGGAACTAAGAGGCTATCAGAAAAAGGACTATCTCATCTATGAGATCGTCTATACAAACCTCATGGTAACCACAAAATGAAAAATCAGAACACAGTCACAAATCATAATAAAAAGAAAATTGAGAAAATCACCAAATGGAAATGGCAGACAGAAATACAAGTAAAAAGAAACAATGGAAATATAGAGCAACTAGAAAACAAGAGGTAAAATGGTAGTATTAAGCTTTTCAATGATCACTCTAAATGTAAATGGATTGAACTTACCAATCAAAAGACACAGAATGGCTGGATGAATTAAAAAACAAGACTCAACAATATGCTGCCTCCAGGAAACACATCTCAGCTCTAAAGACAAACATAGGCTCAGAGTGAAGGGATGGAAGATGATACTCCAAGCAAATGGCAAGCAAAAGAAAGCAGGTGTAGCCATATTTATATCAGAAAAAGCAGACTTCAGGATAAAAAAGATAATGAGAGACAAAGATGGGCATTATATAATGATAAAAGGGATAGTCCATCAAGAAGACATAACACTTATTAATATATATGCACCTAACATAAGAGCACCAAAGTATATAAAGCAACTATTAACAGACCTAAAGGGAGAAATTGACAGCAACACAATAACAGTAGAGAACCTTAAAACCCCGCTTACATCAATGGATAGATCATCCAGATAGAAAGTTAACAGGGAAACAGTGGCCTTCAATGAAACACTAGGCCAGATAGACTTAATAGATATCTATGGAACATGCCATCCCAAAACAAAAAAATACACATTCTTCTCAAGTGCACATGGAACATTCTCAAAGACAGACCACATGTTGAGAAAAAAGGCAAGCTTTGATAAATTTGAGAAGATTGAAATTATATCAAGCATCTTTTCTGACCATATACTATGAAACTAGAAATCAACTACAAGAAGAAAGCTGGGAAAGTCACAAATATGTGAAGACTAAACAACATGCTACTGAACAACTATTGGATCAATGAAGAAATCAAAGGAGAAATCAAAAAGTACCCGGAGACAAATGAAATTGAAAACACAACATACCAAAACCAATAGGATGCAGCAAAAGCA